TTTAAAACCAATGAATTTTGAACTTTTAATGATACCATTGCATTGCAAGATGGAATATCTGTAACAACTAGGAAGAAAAGGACTGTTTTCAACTGTTCAGTTCAAAATATGAGCATTTTGCACTTGATTCTGAATTTTTATTTTTATTTGCAAATCAGAAAAAAATGAAGCGGGCGAATCCGTTAACCAAGAAATTAAATTGGTGTGGCCTTATGGTGGTTTCTACTATTCCTACATGTACCTTTTTTTGACCAAAAACAAATTTCAAACTTTTTTCACTTTATCATAAGATAGTAAACCTCTGGCTTGAAAATTGCTTGTAATGCACATATATGAAATGCATAAACTAAATAATACTGTTAAAATGATATGGTAACAGTGGATAATAACCGAAAGGCAAAGAAAACCTGAAATGTTTGTTGTAGCCCTATGTTGTAAGCATAGCAATTTGAAGCTAGTGTACATTAAATGTAACTCTCCACAATGTCATAGACTTGCGTATTTTGTCTTGTTTGCATAGCACACTGTCTGAACAGTACATAGTAATGACTGACCATGTAACCATAACATGTCAAGTTTTAGTCACTGTAACTCTGTACAAAATTTTTGACATCCAGACACATTGTGGAAGTTTCTATTAGTATATAGTATTTTGTCAGAGTCTAATTTTTCTCTCGTCCGCAGAGCACCCTGTCTGAGCAGTACACAGTAGTGAGTGACTACACACCTGCAGACTCAGAACAGGATAGGGTTCCACTGAAAGAAGGTGAGAGTTAATGACAGTGACAATGGACCTATACCATTATTACGTCACAGTTTGTTTACCGCAATGAATGCCGGTCAATCGACGTTTATATTGTACAGGGGTGCGTAGCGCTGTGTGTGTTTGTTTAGATTTAGCCTTAATATAAGGTCTTTATACAGTACTACTTTTGTCTAATGTCACAACTAAATCACCCATGCGGCATGTAATGCTGTGTCAACACAACTAGACGCAGCAAAAATCAGACATACCTGACTTTGAAAACTTTGAAATGATCTTTATTCTTTAACTGACCGTTCTAGAATGTTCTTTAGAACAGGTAAACAAACTGTGACGTATAATAGATAATAATGGCATGGGTCCATTCACATCCAGAAGGCAGACTGTCTCATGTGAACGTTCCATGGCAAACTCAGATTTGCAGTAGAAATTTGAATTTTGCATCAAGGCTAGTTTGAATGTGCAATCTTTCTGAAGAACTTTAAAAGGAACTTGGTGTGAGCAATTTGGCAGGCATGAAAATTTGGGGTATAATATGTGATTCCCACTGGTTGTTCAGCTCACATCTGTCCTTACATGTACATACCAGCCCACATGTAGGTGTGCCCAGGTTACCTGTGATGATATGTTATTATGTGTAGTTAACGTGTGTGTGTGAGCTGACCTCTCCCTGACCTGTGCCTGATTGTAGGATTGTTACCATACAGGTGTTATGTATAAAGTAGTCTGCTGTACTTTCTCTGTTTGGTTTTAAAAGGATTGAGTGCAAACATTTGAATTTCTGGAAACTGTAGATTTTGATAAATTAAATGTAGACACAATCATTTTGGGTCTGATATTTATGTAGTTCAATAGGGTTTTCATTTACAGTGAAGAAACAGAATGAATCAGCGAACAAAAAGTTCTAATTTCGTAAGAACAAATCCACATACAACATAGATGTAGCTGTTTTCCAAGAAGTTATGTTTTTCTTGATTTAAATGGGACTGATTGGAGGGTTTATACTAGAGGCTGTTACCACTGCACTGACCAAACATTTGACAGACTGTGATGCACAAACCCTGTGCTCAAAACAGTCACACTGAAAGACCTCAAGCAAATGACCATAGCTGACAAACCAAACTATGACATCTGGTCAAATCTAAGACATCTTTTCTTGTCTTGCCCCTCCCCAGGCCAGATGGTTGAAGTTCTTGACTCCTCGAGTCCTGACCTGTGGTTGGTGCGGACCATCCCCAGCCCCCCAGAGCCAGCCCAGGGTTGGGTACCCCCCTCCTTCCTGCAGACCCTCACTCACTCCCCCTCCGCAAGGAAAGGCAAGTCTCAGGACGCGTCTCAAGACACAGAGAAGCTCAAGGAGCGGCCGAGGAGGGGCAGTAAGGAGATGGAGGCCAGCAGTAAGAGAAGGTGCAACATCTTCAAGAAAAAAACTACTTCTTCCATCCAAAATCTCTCTCCAGCATCTTGATTTGCAGAATTGTGTAAAAAGATGTTGCATTCTACAACTTGACCATTGGATCTTATTTACTGTACATGATGGAAATAATTTTCTGAACAAAAGTTGCGATTTTCTATCAGATTCTACTGTCTTTGGACAGTTCTTTTCTATAAGTATTTGTCAATTCCTCCTTTTGGCATCTTCTGGCCTTTTCCCTGATTTTCTTGACTCTGTCTAGTACCTACTTCTGTCCTGTATAACCTGGGAACCCCTCTCCTCAGCTTCTCTTTCCTCTTTTCTTTGTTTCATGTGTTTTCTGCATTGCTTAGTTTCTGACGAGTCCTCTCTCAGCGGGTGAGGTCTTTCTCTTCATTCTATTTGATTACAGTAACTTTACTGGTAATTTTTCTTTTGTCTGTATGTAAAACCAAAACCACCTGTTGGATAAACCTGCAGTACCACTGTCCAGAGTTAGGGAGCACTGCAGATCATGCAATAACAGAACCACAAAACTTTTTATATCACTGTAACTTGAGTGTAACTTCAGTGTTTATGTTACTCTGCAAGTAAATAAAAGATAAATAAACAAAAAAACTAACTTTTTCTTAGGTTTGTCCTGGAGGAACTACTGAGAACGGAGGGTGATTACGTGCGGGACCTGAAGTTTGTAGTAGACCACTACATCAGCATGTTTAACAATAAACAAACAAACAAACGAACAAACAAACATTCTTCCTCCTCCTGCTTCAGGTTTGTCCTGGAGGAACTACTAAGAACGGAGGGTGATTACGTGCGGGACCTGAAGTTTGTAGCAGACCACTACATCAGCATGTTTGACAATAAACAAACAAACAAACAAACAAACAAACATTCTTCCTCCTCCTGCTTCAGGTTTGTCCTGGAGGAACTACTGAGAACGCAGGGTGATTACGTGCAGGACCTGAAGTTTGTAGTAGACCACTACATCAGCATGTTTGACAATAAACAAACAAACAAACATTCTTCCTCCTCCTGCTTCAGGTTTGTCCTGGAGGAACTACTAAGAACAGAGGGTGACTATGTGCGAGACCTGAAGTTTGTAGCAGACCACTACATCAGCATGTTTGACAATAAACAAACAAACAAACAAACAAACATTCTTCCTCCTCCTGCTTCAGGTTTGTCCTGGAGGAACTACTAAGAACAGAGGGTGATTACGTGCGGGACCTGAAGTTTGTAGCAGACCACTACATCAGCATGTTTGACAATAAACAAACAAACAAACAAACAAACAAACAAACAAACAAACAAACATTCTTCCTCCTCCTGCTTCAGGTTTGTCCTGGAGGAACTACTAAGAACAGAGGGTGACTATGTGCGGGACCTGAAGTTTGTAGCAGACCACTACATCAGCATGTTTGACAATAAACAAACAAACAAACAAACAAACAAACAAACAAACATTCTTCCTCCTCCTGCTTCAGGTTTGTCCTGGAGGAACTACTAAGAACAGAGGGTGATTACGTGCGAGACCTGAAGTTTGTAGCAGACCACTACATCAGCATGTTTGACTCCCACAGTCTGCCTTATCTACTCAGGGGCAAACGGGAGGTTATCTTCATGAACATAGAACAGATTTATGATTTTCATAGCAGGTGAGATTATAAATTTCATTCGTATTATAGAATTATCATAAATATGTTGGCTGTTTTTTCCAAAAAATGATGAGTGATGCCACGTTATATCAAAGGATATCATCTTTATGAATATCTGAACAGATTTATGATTTTTAAAAAAATTCTCTCCCCGTATGTTGAGTGGTTTGTCCCGAAATATGATATCTTTGACAGAATTATGACTGAATATCGGGTGATGCCACTTTTCAGCAGGTGTGATTACAAGAAATTGTATGGAGAATTTATTTGATTGCTCTGTTGAAAGTTTCTTTATGCAGTACAGAACACAACTGTAAGTTTGTAATTGAAATATTTTCTATGTTCAAACATTATTTTAGAAATTCTTACATGGATTTTCCTTCTTGTTTCAGTATTTTTATCCATGAACTGGGAACATGTAAGGATGAGCCCAGCAAAGTTGGCAAGATTTTTGTAAAATGGGTGAGTTTTCTTAAAAGTGTAAGGAGGAACTGCTTAAGTTAAGGATCATATTTGTTCCATAAGGTCCCTACAGAGGGTAAGCTCAACTTCTTAGATGCTTGTGCAAAGAAGATAATTTTTAGCCAGAATTGGTAATTTTTGTCTGTAGTATTTCCTGAAGAAATACTGCCATAAAAATGAATCAGAACAGTATCCATAGTATTTCTGTCATTTGTCTATGTGATTTCTGAAATGTTTGTTTGTTTGTTTGTTTGTTTACAGCAACACAAGTTTGACATGCATGTGGAGTACTGTAAGAACAAGCAGAGATCAGAAACCCTTCTTTCGACAAGTGCTGCAAGGAACTTTTTTGATGTGAGTATCAGTACCAAAGCCACCTGCTATATGAACCTGCAGTACCAATGACCAGAGATAGGGAGCACTGCTGATCAAAGAAACAAGGATGAGACTGTGTGTCATATATAGAACAATTTGTATTAGCCTAGTATAATATCCTTGTATGTATGTCTAAGTCAAGCAGTGCATCTTTTGTCTACACTTTTCTACATATGTTTATTATGTGTCTGTTAAGTCTTGACCTGTACCTAGCCCATCGTGGCATGAATGTACAATAATTTAAGGTATTTCATTTCATTTCATAAAAGAACCAGAGTAAAACTCAGAATGTATTGTTTGTTTCTTAACTAAAAGTTATGAAAGTAAAATTATTGTTCTTTTCTACTGAAGCCCATGAAGACAAGATTATTTTATACTTTTTGTTTCATTTATTTGTTGTTTTGTTTTCCCATCAGGACTACACCAAGAGAAGTGACGAGAGGAAGCTTACATTATCAGACTATCTCATCAAACCTGTACAGAGGATCACTAAATACCAACTTCTGCTCAAGGTAATGTTATCCCCAGTCTACAGCAAAAGAGAAAAAAACACTTTCATTCATTGTTTGTGTAGACTACATTGATTTGCTTCTAAATAGTTAACTGATGAAAAAAGCCGCCTTGATTATGAAAAAGTACATGTACAAGTCAGAAAGGTTGAACAAATGACTGAACACACAGAGTATGGTATAAAAACATAACTTTATTTTCTTCACATCTTGTGACTTCAGAAGACTTGGTGGTGCAAGCAAGTGGCAATTTGAGCCCTTCTGTGCCATCCTTCAACTGAAACAATTTTTACATTATCTTGATACAAAAAAATCTTTCTTTTCAGGAACTAGTTAAATACACCACAAGAGCCAAGCTGGACAGTACAGATTTAGAGGTATGTAATTAATAACTTTCCTAAATATACCAGCGTATTTACTAAGTGGTACTCAAACTTTGTTATCGTTTTTTTTTACTGTGAATGAGCTCCAGTGCCTAGGTCTATTTGGTTCCTGCACAATACAGTGACTCAGGGAACACTGTGTTAGTCTATAGTACTCTCTCATCTGAGATTTGTGCCTCAATTTTTTTACATCTTTTTAGGCAATTATAATGGGCCTTTTTTGTACCAATATATTTTTTCTCCACCCAACAGTAGCATATTGGATACTGCCCTGCCAATTTGATGCAAGTTGTAGCCACTAAAAAATATCTGATTGAAGATTCATTAAGTTCTTTGGTGAAAAGTGGCCAGAATTATAACAGCGCAGTTGAGTCATCTCGATCAAAGAAGCACAGGTCATCTCAGGTCATGGTTACTATAGTGATGACCATTGACCTTTTCACTATACAAATTCCCTCTCCACTGTTTATTCAAGTAAAACAACTCTATAAACACTTTTTAAGCCGACTGTTTTTGGAAAATATCTCAATAGTATTGTGCAACAGTAGTGGGTATTAAGGTTGAACAGTTTTTATAGTTGGCAAAATATTGTCTGTATAGAAAAGTCAGAAAACAAGATCTGTCCTTGGAAACCGTTTGACGTACTTTGACGTTTATGATAAATATCTGTGAGTTTTTTAATAAATATCTGTACAGAGTCGAGTGTCAGTTGCACATGTTTTACAACAAGCACAAATGTTAACACGCCGTGCGGGCTTTCATCTATTGTGGGTCGTACAAAAACGGCAGAGATTTCTTCTGTAAGCTGGTTTATTTTAGTCCCAGACTCGAGTTACTGTGTTTACAGTAAATAAAACAGGGAAACGTGAGGATGTTGTAAGTTGTATATCTATAGACGGGTCTACCACAGGGCTCTAGCCTGCACTGTTTTTTCGTCAATTGCAGGAACTTTGTGGCATGTTACGGAAAAATTTTGAAACCAATCCGTCAACCCTGATGGACAAAATTGACAAAAATGTTGGAAAAACTATAAAAACATCCAAATGACCACCTACAAACACTCTCAACTCCATGATTTGCCTCTCAAAATGTGGGAAATTGCGTTTTTAAAGGCTTCAAAATCCTAAATTAGCCCCCAGACTTCCTGAGATTGCGAGGACTCCCTCCCTAGGTTTTTGATCATGAACCTGGGCTGACGGAAAAAAAATTTGGGCTGGCTGAGCCCTGAAACAGAGGATGTTGTTGTGTATACAGTGCCATTGACGTGTGCTAAAGACTGGACTGTTTTTTTTCTGTTTCCAATATTTTATTACAAGACATGGCGACAGGACACTCAGGTTTTTTCAACTTATTTTTATGCCGCCACCAATGCAGATAAACTCATGAACAGACACACTCATTTCCACCTGAGTAAAGTGAGGAAAGTTGTGTAAAGTGCCTTTCCCAAGGGCACAAGATCGGTGTCATGACTTGACTGTTGAATGTAGGTACTGAGATTTCCCTGTTGCTGTTTTTTTGGCCCTGTGTAACGTCTGAGCTACACAAAATGTTTTTCCAGACACTTACATTGTACTATGTAGGACCTACCAATGTGAAATATTGGATACAGAACGCACCCAAATGTGGAGCTGTGTGCCTAATTCTTGTGGGTGCACAAGTGTACCTAGAAATTTGTTTTGAGTTGCGTATGTTATTAATATACTGTAATACCATCGTGATGATACACTAGTATACAGCGTTTCTTCACATACACACTCTAGTATGCTAGTATTTCTTGACATTTATGTGTCAGAAAAATAATGGTATCATTATATTAAATAATTATGATATCATTGTTGTATTACTTGTCCCTTACATGTTCAGCCACTATATAATCTAGGATTCCGACCAAAGAACAATGAATAAAAAATTAGAATCAACTTAATCTGTGACTTTTTGGGGAAAAAACAAAATTTTTGTCTGTTACCCAGCATGCCCTGGGAGTGATGATGGACGTCCCCAAGCGAGCAAACGACCTTCTGCACATCAGCATGATTGACGGTTTCTATGGCAACCACCAAAACATCGGCAAGCTTCTCAGACAGGTGGGGTCAAGGTCACTTGTATATCATCACAGTAGATTTGTGTATATCTGTTTTTAAAAGAGGAAAGACACCATGTAACGTATAACTAGAAAGATAGGTAACATTTGCAAAGCAAATGCCTCATCTTTACAATCATGTACCTTCACATTGCCCAACTTAACAAACTACTGCTTTGTTTATTCTTACTCAAACTCACTCATATATGGTGACCATGCAGCCCCTCTTGAACTCTGCATGGTACTTGCAACATTATGTAACCCAACACCAGTTACCATGGTGACAGACGTCTGGTCCTGGTCATTGACCTTATTTGTTTGGAGAAGAAGAAGATGAAGAAGAAGAAACAGAGCAAAAACAATATATTTTCGTTCTATGAAAATAAGAAAAGATTGCAAACCTCCAGGAAGTCTGAAATTTCGGATTTTCTTGTATCTCCAGGATTCGTTCATGGTTTGGGACAGCCGGACGGCCAAAGGTCGCGGGAAGGAACGTCACATCTTCCTGTTCAACAACATGGTCCTCTTCACCAAGCGCAAACGCAATAGTCTGGACAGCATCGAATACTCCTACAAGGGCCTCATGAGGGTACGTTTGGGGGGGTCCAGGTTATATGTTAGATCTGTGTCCTCTTCAACAACATGGTCCTCTTCACCAAGCGCAAACGCAGCAGTCTGGACAGCATCGAATACTCCTACAAGGGCCTCATGAGGGTATATATGGGGGGATCTGGGATATTTGTCAAATCTGGACTGTGCTTACACCAATGTACAAAATGTATGAAGCAAAATTCTAGGCTTTGTAGTATGATTGTATGTATGTACATACATGTATGGATGGGTTGATAGATGGATGAATGAAGGAACAACTTGACAAATGAATGAATGAATGCAGGAAGGAAGGAATAAAGGAACAAATGAACAAAGGAATGAATGAAATCCCTTTATGTTTCTCTTCCTGACAGTTACCTGGCATTGGAGTGACAGAAGATGTGGAAGGAGACAGCCGTAAGTTTGAGATGTGGTACGGCAAACCGGACTCTTCAGAAAGATACACAGTACAGGTCAGAACCAGTCACTATCTTGCACTAACCCTTAAACCTTAACACTAACCATAAACCAAACCCGACTCTTCAGAAAGATACACAGTACAGGTCAGAGACATTCATACTGTTACAAGACTTTTAGTACTAAGTTACTTTGTAGGTCCCTCTAGCAACTTCTTTGGAACTGCGGGGGCATTTTAGTTCCAGAATAATCTGATATTATATGGATTTTTTTGTTTGTTTGTGTGTCCGTCAGGCCAAGACAATCTACGTGAAGCAAGCCTGGGTGAAGGAGATTCGAGACATCTTAGACAAGCACACTCAGGAGGCACAAGGTAGGGAGACAGGCACTTAAGGAATCTCAGGAGGTTTTCTTAAGGACACTTGGGATTTATTCAAGGACACCTAGTCTTTAAGGCCTCACTGATTAATTTCCTTAGTTCTTGGACATTTTGAGGTGAAAATATAGCAAGCAGACATCATAAAAAGTCACTAATGAAAAGTAGTGGATGCTACTTGAAACGTCTGACTGTTTTCAAAATGTATCTAGTTGCTTGAGTAACAGTTACTGTTACATTCAAGTTTGTATCTCATAACTTTCATCAACGGATCTTTTTTTAACATTTGTTGTTTTTACAGATGTGAAGTCAGCAGTTGAAGCCAGAATATCTGCAAGTACCAGTAAGTACAATTGTTACCATAATGTACAAATGTCTAATAAAAAGTACACACAGATAATTTTTTGATAAGAATTGAACCTGATAGCATTGTTCTTCCTTTACTCTTACTGTGACTTTTTTCATTTCAGTCTGAACTGAATGTTTATCCAACAATGTCTATCTGCAGTTCATGCTGTAGCTGTAACATCAGTGTCATGTTGCCATGGTAACCATCACCACAGTAACCATGTTGTTCTTGTTCCCAGGTTCCCTGGGATCGTCCATAGACACCCCGAGTACCCCGACAACCCCCTCCAGTGCTGGAAGGTGAGAAACAATAGTTTAGTTCTTTTGGAGAAAGTTTTTGTTTAGTGCAAATACATAGAATAATGTAATACATTATTGTAGATTTTTAGCTCATCTTATAGAAGATCTTTATTGACACAACGAGTCTATAACTAGACATACAGACACTCAGAGACACGTGGGTACAAAAGAAATAACCTACGTACAAGACTATGGATGAATCAACTGTATCAATTATATGTTTTGTAATGATCATGTCTTGTCATCAGGGCCAGCCCTTTGTAATAGCCACTGGCTAGTTGGGCTGCCCTGGCTGTGAGGGTTGAACAGCCAAACCAGTAAATAAATCTGTTCAGCTCATCCTTATGGTGATGCCATAATAAACAAATGAAATAGTTTTAGATAACCAGGCTATGTAGGACTCAAAATACTTTTTCCTGCATATATAACTGCATCAGAAAAATTAATATGTAGAAGTTCAAATCGGCCTGTAGGTTGCTTTCCATTGAGGTTAGAATCTGAGCCGAGCCTACCACCCAAATTCCACCTGACAGACCAATATTCTGCCATTCTATTTTTATAACCCTTTCCGAGGAAACCATGATTAGTCTGCTGGTGTAACCCGACACCTCAAGGCTTGTTCTTACCTCACGTTGCCATGGCAACTGTGGGATTACGTCATTTCCTGAGTAAAAATGACTTTCCTTGCCGCAGATAGAGGCACCTCTGAAAATGTTCAAATCTAGAATTTTCTGTATATATAGTAAGTATTTTCATGAAAATTGACAGATTTTATTAGCGACATCAGGAATTCGGAAGCACCTCTCCGCTAAAGATTTCTGGGGAGACTCCTGCTTGAGTGAAAGTGACTTTCTCTTGTAGTGAGAGTGACTTTCTCTTGTAGTGAGAGTGACTTTCTCTTGTAGTGAGAGTGACTTTCTCTTGTAGTGAGAGTGACTTTCTCTTGCTCCTTACAGCAGACAGAGACACGTCTCCGGGCCGAACCATCGCCGACGGGGGAGTAACGTTTTCAGCGAGACCAGCTTTGACTCTCTCATTCACACGGCGGAGGTGAGATATTGTCTTAAGGTGCTGTAGTGGCTGTAGGAAACCCAACCAACAGGTGTCTTTAATTCATGCAGTCTATGTGAGATGTCTTGGATATTGCAAGATCTTTCACTTTCACGCTAATATGTTACAAATTAATGTATAATCATGATATATATTAGATTTGACAATTCTAGCCCTATTTTTTTGTCAGAAAATGTCGGAAAGAATAATGTAGGCCATCTAATAATAATAACTTTGGTATGTCAGTTATGCTTTTATCATTGTAGACAAACAAAATAGCCATTTCCTTGAGATTTTTTAATAATTATATACTACCAAGAAATGTGATGTAAGAAAACATTACATGTATAAATGTATGTGTACTCGAGCTTTGAACAATTGTGGCATTTCCCTTCCAGACCTCTGTACTATATTAAGAGGCTTGAATGAAATCTTTGTATGGAGACCTTTATTTGTTATATCTATCACAACCTAACATACAGTTGTAATAGATAACAGTACTGTACTCTGCCCAGCCCCTTGTAGTGTGAGGCTTGTATGTACGCCAAAAAGCAGTTACTCAAGCAACTGGATATGATTTTGGAAACAGTCACTGACAGTTTTCAAAATTATATCCAGTTGCTTGAGTAACTGCTTTTTGGTGTATCTTATTACCTAAATGTCTAACCTTCACTGATGTAGGCTTGTATATAGTTTTGGTCAAGGATTTTTGTCATATCATACTGATCTAAAATTTGACTTGTCTAGCAAAACATCAACATGTTAAATATTTCTCCCCCCATACAGACCCTTGTAGTCGGAGGCCTGTATGAAGTCCTGGAGACGGTGATCGTGGACGGAACAGACGAGTTAGAACTGCACAAGGGCGAACAGGTCAAGGTCATCAGGAGCGCTGGAGACGACTTCTACCTCGTGGAGGTCAGGGGTCAAAGTTTATTTCTGTCTAGCATAAATTGTATTTGTAAATTAGCGATAATGCAGATTTTGTGTCAATGCTAATTAAGTTTTCTTATGTCTAAATTTTTTATGATTGCTTAAAAAGAAAATAAAGTGCCTGAATCAAGGGGCTGGGTTCCAAGCATGTTTCTGCATTGACAGCCTTTTGAGTTGGCTGGTTTCTAGGCTGAAAACATGATTGTTTCTCCATCGGCAGCCTTTGACAGAGAAAGGCCTAGGGGAGTTGGCTGGGTTCCGGGCTACCTAGTGTGTTTATATATTGACAACCTTTAACAGAGAAAGGCCTAGGGGAGTTGGCTGGGTTTTAGGCTAAAAAAATGCATCGTTTCTCTATTGACAGCCTTTAACAGAGAAAGGCCTAGGGGAGTTGGCTGGGTTCCAGGCTACCTGGTGTGTTTATGTATTGACAACCTTAACCATGGAGGTAAAAAGAGAAAGGCCTAGGGGAGTTGGCTGGGTTCCGGGCTACCTGGTGTGTTTATGTATTGACAGCCTTTAACAGAGAAAGGCCTAGGGATGTTGGCTGGTTTCTAGGCTTAAAAAATGAATTGTTTTTCCTTTGACAGCCTTTAATATTAAGAAAGGCCTAGGGAAGTTGGCTGATTTCTAGACTAAAAACATGTTTCTCCATTTATAGCCTTTAACAGAGAAAGGAGAGTTGGCTGGAGAGAGGGGCTGGGTTCCAGGCTAACTGGTGTGTTTATGTATTTGCAGCCTTTGACAGAGAAAGGAGAACTGGCTGGAGAAAGAGGCTGGGTTCCGGGCTATCTGCTGAAGAAGACAGGAGAGAAAGAGAAGGCTGATGGTGAGTTGGCATGGTGAGTGTCATCAAGCACTCCTCCTTTTTGTCTTCTTTCCTTCCATTTATCCTGTCAGTATGCCCATTTGTTGTGTCCTTTTGTCTTCTTTTGTCCTTTCCTTCCTTTTATCAATTCATAGTCCATTTCCTATTCCCTCCAGCCATTTTGTCCTCTTTTGTTCCCTTCTTACCTGTAATGCATTGAATCTGCCTACATATTAGAACCTGCAAATAGAAAAGTAAAGTCACACACTTGTTTGACAGTCTAGCAAATGAAAGCTAGGATTTTATTTCTTTTTATACTTCTTTTTATTGTTGCCTTTCAATTTTTTTTCACCTTTCATGTTTGGCTGCAATGTTCTTTCAGTATAACTACCAGTCTGAGAGTATATACCAGTCTGTCCATGAACTAATTCAGGTCTTGACAGTGAAAACAGGTTGTTGTACAAAAGTGTAACAGCTGTGAAGGGACCTTACTTTCATCAATAGGACGGAAAAACTAGGAAAACTAGACCACCACCTGTTACACAGACAGTCCTGACAGTGTACAGTTGATACTCAGGCTGTCAGACAGTGTTGATATACCGTGTACTTGTGACGTCTACATAAGTTCAGGTTCAAGTGTATAAATTGGGAACATGGGAAACTGCATCTATGGATTTCGCTCACGTAGGAACTTTCTTTTCATTTTTGTGAAGATTTAGGAAATTTGCAATTTCGTTATTTTTTTTCGAGTAACATTTTATACATGTTTCTACACTATTATTCTTGTGATAGCTTTTCAGGACATCCATGAAATCACCTTTGACCCTTGCTTGTTTGTTGTTTGTTTGTTTGTTTGCAGATGCCGCCCACTTCGTGACCCCGCTGCGTGACCTGACCCACCGGGAGGGCGAGACCGCGACCTTCTCCTGTCAGTTCGCCGGGACGAAGCCGCTCGCCGTTGCCTGGTTACACGACGGGGCTACCGTGGAGACCGGCGACAGGCTGTCAGTCATCACCACGGCGACCCAGAGCTCGCTGCTGATTGGTCGGACGGTGCTGGCGGATGTGGGGAGATACGAGTGTGTGATCAGTAATGAGGCAGGGACGGAGACAAGCCTAGCAGAACTGGACGTCAGGGAAAACAGTCAGTTTATTTTAATTATCATCCTTATGTCACATGTTTGTCATAAAATTTTGACTTGTTTTGTGTTATGAAACAAGTTTAAACTGCAATTTCCAATGCAAAAAAGCAGACCAAATTTTTGATGGTACAACTCCAGTCTTTTTCAAGGAATGAGCAATCCACCGCTTCCGTGTTGTCACCTTATACAGATGACACACTTAAATCATAGCTTTGGATCATAGGTTGTAGACAGTTTGTGGCTCCCCCATCTCTGTTGGTTGCCCTAGGATAAATGCCAAAAACCAACCAATATGTTTGTAGTGGCCCGTCCCAGCTAAATCTGTACGTACAGGCTGTCCACACAGGAAATCACTTCTGTGTCTGTCTATCCTTCACACATTTGCTTGAGACGCAAATCCATCAGTTACCACATGTGGGGAAATACTGAAGAGACGAGAGAGGAATTACTTGAAATTCTCCTAGCTGGTTATGAATTCTGTTACAATTGTGAGGTTTGAATTATGTTGATTTTGGGCTGATTTAATTCAGCCAGTTTTATGGAGAGTTATTTTCCTCCCTGCACTCTGCTTTTATAATATCTATATTTTCACATTGTCTGAGAATAAATTCACATGGCCTAAATTTTTTTTAAATCTTAAAATCCTTAGATGTGACGACTGTCACAATGAAAAATGGGTACATGCACTGGTCCAGTTTCAGAAAAGAATTATAAGTTGTTTCATGAATGTTAGGAATTCTAAGCATTTTTCTAAAGGAAACCAAAGTTGATCTTGAGTAAGTGAAACATTGCAGAGCACCCTTGCCTGTGATTGGCTAGTGGCTTCAGCTCACTTGCCTGTGATTGGCCGAGGCAGTCAGCCACACTGTCTCTGATTGGCCAGGGAAATCAGCCACGTTGTCTGTGATTGGCTAGCTATAAGAAGTCAGGTTGTTTTACAAGGGCCAGTTCAAAGCTGTATTTCACAGAGAAACAGGAACAGACAATTTGTTAGGGGCAAACAGCCAGAGGCTTTTGGTAGGGACTCGGTTCAGAGATTTTCTTCTGTGCTGTGGACTTGGGGCTGAGAACTGCATCAGGTAAATAGAATATCTTTCACTTTGGTTTTCCCTAACAAGTTTTAAACTTGACCTTTCTAAATACTTATTAAGCTTCTTTTGCTTTAGATTTCTTGTAGAAGTAGACAGGTTGTACGTTCCGTATCAAGTAAATAGGATATCTGTTACTTTTGTTTTCCTAACAAGTTTATAAAACTTGACTTTCCTAAATAGTTTGACTTCTTTTGCTTGAGATTTCTAGTAGAAGTAGACAGGTTGTACATCAGGTAAATAGGACTCCATCACTTTTCCTAAAATGTTTATAAACTTGACTTTTATTAGCAGTTCAACTTCTTTTGCTTTTGAGATTTGCAATTGCAGGCTAATTGCAAGTATACATGTATGTAACATGAAAGTAAGAATGGACAGTAGATAACAATATAGTATGTGTCAGACTACTCTAGCTACTAAACACTAAATTCTGACTTATTGGGTTCGACTTCTTTTTTCTGAGACAGTGGAAGACAAAAAATATGAGAGAAATGTTGTCGACAAATTGCCATTTCCCCGCAAACCCTTCACAACTCAGGTCCAACTATTCCTCTCCAGATATTTTAGTGACAGATTTGGGCCAGGAGTGATATAGGATGGGTCTGAAGTGCTGCGTAGGTGTATGGGCAATGTCTTATGTCTTAGGTAATGTCTTTAAGACTTAACTAGCGAGTTCCAAAGGTTTAGGCCTTGCTACACAGTTAAACATTAGAAAATTCCTCATTCAACTTTTATTGCGAATAATTTAGTTACATCAAGTCACACCAACTTTATTTCTTGATTTTTCAACAAAAAAAATGCTTACAGGATAATTCCAATGAAATTACAGAGCCAAAGAAATACATTGGTGTGGCCTAAGAAGGAAAAAAAACAAGCTTGTCTGTTTTGCTGACAATGTTTTGACTTCCCCTGAAGTATGTTAGTTTAGAGTAAACTCTGACCCTTCACATGTGATATAGTTTCCAACTGGGAATTCTGTTTGGGGATTCTATACTCCCTGTATACAAACGTTTACATCTAACATGACTCTGTATCGTAACTCTGCGGAGGTTCCTTATCTTACGACAAGGATGAGTGTCCTTTTAGCAGCCGTCACGCCACGTACTAAATCGAACGCGTTTCGAACCGTTTTTATTTGCAGTTCGAATCGATCCGCGATCCCTAGCAACGCCGTTGCTAAGGAAACTCTTTTCGCGCGGCAGTTGGATGAAATTTCATCCGACTTTTACAGCTGCGTTGAGCCTGGTTTGTGGCATATTTACCTTCGTTGCGTTACATGTACCAGACGGGAATGCTATGTACTCTTGACATGATCAATTTTTGGAGGGTTTTATAACGTATTTTGTTAGATAAATGGTCATATTTGCTTAACAGTGAAATCGTCAAAATGGCGGTGCCGAACTGAGCTAAATTTTCGACGAAATTCACATTGGGGGCATTTGCATGTCGCTCTCGATTCTGTCTTATATGACCATTGAGTAAGATTCGTTGAATCTTTGACTATGTCTCTTGTGAAAATCTTGTTGGATCAAAATCTGGAAATGCTTGTATATTCATATCAACCGGGGCCACGTCCTCGGCCGTTTTACGCCAAAAGTTCTAAAACGTTGGTTTAGTTGATTCTAGGGCAACCGGCGTTTTAGCACAAGTTGCGGTACTAATGTACCTTCTCAATATTGTCAAAGAATGCCTACAGACACAGACTACGTAAGTACGAACTGAATCAGCAAATGCTTTCTTACTCTTGCAGGTATTATTACTAAAATCCAACGGTGCGGGTCTGGCGTCTGGTCTGTGGAACGCGCTTGAAGCCCGCGCTGTTTTTGGAACGAAAACGACGCCTCTGATGAGGTGGCCTCGCGCGATTACGAAGGAAGCTCATAACGTCCCCAAAATTGATAACAAATTATATACGGACAGAGAGTAGAGACTTCAGGCTATTTTACGCACTAGATTTCTTTTTGTTGTGAAAACTGAAATAAGGTAAACAACATCGGAGGAATTTCCACCAAAATCAAGTGGTTTCAGGTCATATTATCAAACGAGTAGAGGTTAACAATCGTTTTAAAAAGTCACTAGGAGTAAAATAGGAATATTAATATTCACAGATACAATGAAATAATGAAGATATATAGTTATAAACTCAAGCAACAAGCTTTGTAGTAAGAGGTCCCGACTCCCGGGGTTATAGAACGTAAAATTGTCTCAAAAACGGCGCGCGGTTCGCCGTGAGAGTCAATCATAAATCTTAAGGTCAGA